CATGCCCGAACCGCGGGTGCTCGCCCGCCAGCCCTGCCTCCTGGGAGGCTGCAGGCCAGGCAGTGCGGGCTCATCCCGGGGTTTCGGGGAGGTAAACCTTCTGTTTCTAGAGTACCGTGCGTCCGCATAAGCTAATTCAGGGATCTGCAGCCACGGAGAAGGCACAAGTAGGTCTCAGGCTGGTAAAAGTGGGGCTGGAGTAATTACTCAACGCCTTGGCACAGCTGCTCTTCAAGCGATAGGGTAGGCTTCAAGCTCTGGAGCACAGCAAAATGCAGCTCCGAGTACAGCTGAAAATAAACTCACCTGGGGTCGCTCTATCATACGAGGAAGGTGTTACTTCTCATGCTGTACAACTTAAAGGTCAGGGCAGCTTTTAAAGCACAAGGAAGCAGCTGAAGAATTGGCTGAAGTACAAGAAATCAAAAGTCATCGACTTTTACTCTAGCGCATCGGGTAGCTTAAGGTAAACATCATGGCAGGTGGTGGGTGCAGTAGTGTGGGTAACTGAAAGGATTCACAGTAAGAACGGCAGTCCTAGACTGTGTAGACAGCTAATTTAAATCTTGGGAGTCCTTGATGCTGACTAGCTTTTTTGAATATGACGAGTTGCTCAGGTAATGTTCTTTCCCCCAGCCCCAAATCAAGTTCAGCCTTGTAATTCTTAAATCGTTTGCTGCTGTATCTCTTTGCCGTCTATATTGGGCCAATTCTATAGCTTTTACACATTTAATAAAGTTTTCAAAAGACTCATTTTGCTTTTGCTTCTGTTTTTCACAAATCCTGTGGGTGGCATGTTAAAACCACAAACCAACTTAAAACTTTGTATTTGGGCACCCAGCAGACCATTTCTGCTATTATTGTCCACTTTAGGGGAAGCAGAGCGTCTTGAAACATGTGCTGCGGTGTAGCTGAGCCCAGCTCCCTTTTAATTCTTAATGGGGGCATTGGAGTACCTGAACCCATGCTGGTAATGGGAGGATCTAGGTGGGCTCAAAAATGAGCTGAATTATTTAAACGATTAACCAGTGCAGATGTGTATGTCAGACAATCAAAATACCATGGTAGCCACAGAGATTATTAAAAAAATTTATTAACAGGAATGAAACAAAAGCTGTAAACAAGAGCCAGCAAAAATGAGAAGTTGCACATAATGCTGAGTCCTGTCTTGTTTGAATGCACTGAACAATTAATTCCTTGTCGCTTGGTGGCAGTAAAGGCCCATGTAAGAAGATGCCAAATAAGAGTCTGAGGAAGAGCTTTAGGGCAAGGCCAGTGTGCAGGCACTGGGAGACCAGTCACATAGAGGGAACTTGTGACTGGGAGAGATGCCGGCTGAGTGCCTTAAAGTTTAGGTCTGATAGCCCCAATGCAGTTGTGATGTCTCTGCTGTAGAGTTAGCTCCCAACAGGCATATTTAAGGTATTCCAAAGGGTAGCATTAACGTCTTCCTTATTTAAATTAGTTTTGAAATTGGTTTTGGTCCCACACTGAAGAAGTAAGCTGAGAGTTGCCAGCTTTTTCTTCAAGACGAGTCACAAGGCTCTCCTGCCTTGCAAGGAAGAGGGAAAGCAGCGATCTGATGGGGGCATTAAGAATACTGCTGCTTATTTTTGCCTTCTGGGAGATTCCCTGTAGCTTCTGGGGTAGGGTGTCTGTGCAGTGACAGGCCCCTCGGGACGGGGGCTGCTGCTGCACTGCTAAGGAGAGGCTGAGAAAACACAATGCCGAAGGCAGACCTGGGCACAGGTCAGGGATTGGAGCTGCCCGACTCCTTTTCTGTGCCTCTCTGCTGGGCTTGCCCTTCCCTGCACAGCTGGGATACCAAATACTGGTACTTTGTAAGCTCAAGACTAGAGAAAATCCCTGTCCCCTTTTTTTTTTTTTTTGCCTTAACCTCAGCCAGCAAGTGTGTGCTACGCAGCCCAGAATGAGAATGGAGGTGGCTGTTAAGATAAGCAGCTTCATGTAGGAGACGCTGGTCGAGTAGCAGCCACAGGGGCACAGCAAAGCTCACCAAAGCAGTGTGAAACAGCGGGTTTTACAGATTCCTGCACACTTCTTGACAGTGCCTGAATAACTTGCAGAGCCGCCCCTGTGTTCTGTTGCTACTTGCAACCATATCTTAAAAGAGAGCGCTTGCAGCAGGGCATGACCACCTTTTAGAGCAGGTAAAGGTGAAGAAAGTTGTTCTGGTTACTTCAGAGAAAGTCCTGGCTGAGGAACGGATGGCTGCTGCTCCGGTGGGAGCAGCTGTGCCAGTGCTGGCTGTCCCCTTGGATCTGTGGGGAGCACTGCTGCTGAGGTGGGACGTGTCGGGACGGGGGACACCCTGACTGCCATTCCCGCACCACCCCTGCTCGCTGCTGCCAGCGCAGCTCACCTGCCTGCTCCTGCGGTGCTGACGCTGGCAGCAGGGGTCTGCTCCAGCCCGTGCGCTGCAAATATTCCTGCAGGAACAGGTTTTCAATAAATAATTTAAATAAAATTTAAATCAGACAGTTGAAAGACTTGCTTCTCCCTAAAAAGCTATTTAGGAAAAAAAATGCTCTGTTCTCAGTAGGTTTATTTTAGGATCCTTTTTCATGCTGTTATTGTGCTGGACCCACTTTAGGCAGTAGCTGCTCGTTTTACTGTAGCTGACTGAGGAGTGTAGCTCTGAGGAGTCCCTGCCTGCCTGAATCGCACGCAGCAGCCGCACAGGGTCTTTGTGCACGTCAGGAATGCAGCGCTGGAGCTAACACCCCCCCGGAGCTGGAGGTAACACCCCAAGCAAAACAAGGGGCAGAGGCGTCTGAACCAACTGCTGAGAGAGCTGCTGCTTGGCTGGCGGCCGGAGAGGGAAGGATGGGTTATTTTATTTTAAAAGCGGCCCATTTAGGGCAGCGCGCGGAGGTTCGGTGCAGTGGGCACCTGGTCGTGCGTGTGGAATTTTCAAAGAAGAAAATTGCCCAAGGCCAAACGCTTCATCCAAATTCAAATTTGTACTTAGACCTGCAGCTTTAGAAAGAAAAAAACAACAACAACAAAAAAAAAAGAAAAGCCAAATGCCTGACACAGACCAAAGGAGTGAGGAGTCCATTGAAGAGAGCTGGCAGAAGAGTCTGAAACCCCTGAAATCAATGCCTACAGCATCCCCCCAGCTTTCTTCAGTTAACAGAAAGAGCTGTCCCAAGGGAACTTTGAAGATATCAAAGCATTGTTGCAGTCTAAAAACGCTATCACACGTACATGAAGGTATTTAAGCTGCAATACATCAGATTTCTTCTCAATTAAAGTACTAGAAACGGCAGTAGTAAGAGAACCAAAGCCTTTACCGAACAGATAAACATTCAGGAATCTCTGTACAACAGATAGGTTAGCAGGAGCTTACTCAAACAGACAAGCTAAGCTCTTGTCGTCTGCGGGGAAGAGGAGAAACCTTCATCGAGGAGGTGTGTTACACCACATGAAAGATGGACAGACATCAGTAAGCAACTACAAAAATGGTTGCCTCGCGAACAAGGCTCTCCTGTGTGCCCTGGACCAGGGCTCTGAACAGTTGAATTCCAGGTACGCGGGGAAAGAAAAGGGAATTCAGGACTTTTTCCTACCCAGATGTTTGGTGGGGAGAAGGCGTTCATTCCCCTTAAGTGACACCGTAATTCTTACTGACGTTAAAGAAGCCTCATATCGCTCCTGGCTGCTGCTGAATGGGCAGAGACAGCCAGGTCTACCGACTGCCCCGGCCCTGGAGGGCACGACAGCAACAGCTCACCCACCCCAGTCCCTTCCCGAATGCCCACCTCCCACCCGCATGGGGACAAGCGGCTGCGAGCCAGGCGGGAGCGACCGGCCAGAGGGCTCGCGGTGCGGATGGATGTGATGGGGGCTCGGGGAGCAGCGCCTGGCACGCGGCAGCGTCCGCCCCGACCGAGAGAGCTTTTTCTGCTGCTGCTTCCCCATGTCTCAGCTCACCTGTTAGGCAGATACAGACGCGACAGACAGACATGCACACATTGTCCACGAGGAGAGAGCGCGGCGCACAAACACTTGGCATGAGTCTCTGTACAAATGCACCGAGCGCATTAGGACCTGCAGCAGCCCGAGCCTCTCACTTCCTTCTTCACGTAGTCGTGGAGCTTGAATTTGGGCTCGTTGGGCAGCTTCATGGACCTGTGCTTCAGTTCCCTGCGGGAAGGGGAAAAACACACTACCTTTGTGCCTCGGCTGCCCACTTCTGGTCTGCCTGGCCCAGCTCAGTTGAACTCGACTCGGTCTAGATGGTTTGCTAAAGCTCCCCCTGATGAGATGCTTCACAGCTCACGTGAGATGGCAAGTACTTGCCAGCCCAAGAGCTGGAGGTGGGAGCCCAGGGAATGAGAAGGTGGGTGACAGTGCCAGCCTTTATCTCAAAGACTGCTGTCCCCCCCCGCCGCAGAGGTGCCCAGGACGGCCACCTCACCAGTCACTTACTTTGCAATGGCTGTGAACGCTAATTCAACATTGAGGCCGCTTTTTGCGCTGGTCTCCATAAAGGGCACGCCGTACTCCTGCGGGACGAGACACAGCAGCATCAGAAATGTCACCCAGGGTGTCCCCAGGGGCTCAGGAGCTCCCAGCTTGCACTGAGCCCCGGTCAACATTGGTGTCTGCTGCAGGAGCTCATATCCCTCCTGGGAGAGGGGCTCTGCCATGGTGGGCAGGAAAGCTGAGCGTTTCACAGCTCAGGTGTTTCTTATACAACTTCAGAAATAATTTTTGAGGACAAAGAAGTGAAAACCATTCGTGGAAGCTTAAAGGAAGAAGAGCAGATGAGGAGGAAGAGGAGAGCAAGACAAGGGAAGAAAAGCAAAGTGCTCCCAGATGCATTTTTGGTCAGACTGGTCTCCAGTTAACCATTTCACTGGTGTACATCATCAATTACAAGTTGTACTCGCACATCCCCCATTAGAGCATGGAACAACCGACTCTGCTGCAGCAGACAGACACCTCACGTACCTTGGCTAATTTTTCTCCATCTTCCCTTTTCACTACTCTGTCCTGCGCTGAATCCACCTGCCAAAAGTAACGACAAAGCAATTTGGGATGATTTGGAAGGTCAGCAGTAGGCAATCCCCATGTCCCCTTATGCCCTCCCAGGCTCCCCTGTCCATGGCTGCAGCGTGGCTCCATCGTGGGACCATCAGTGGAGGAAAAGGAGGTGCTGGTGAAGACGGGGCCAGGCTCACCTTGTTTCCCAGTAACATGAGGACCACGTCTTGCTGCGCGTATTCATGAATCTCTGTCAGCCAAGCCTGGAGGGAGACAGCCAGAGAGAGGGGTTAGCAACAGCTCCTGGAGGACGAGGAAGAGGAGGAGGAAGGATGTTGGGCTGCCCCAGTCATGGGAACCCGGCACCCACCGTGGGAAATGGTGCTGTCCCTGAGCAATGCCCGGGGGTGTTACGTGGACACAGGGAGGAGGTGGCTGGGGGCTACATGCAAAATGAAAAGCCCAGCTCAGAAACTCGGCTGTGCGGGGCAGGAGCTGCAGGCAGGGAGCAGCCGGTCCCGCAGACCCCCCGTGATTCAGCAGCGCCCTGGGGAGAGGAGCTGCCTCCTTCCCCACGGTTTGGCAGGAGAAGCCAGCCAGCAGCCAGGGACTCGGCCCCGGGGACGAGCGGGTGCCCTGGGGTGCCACCGAGCCCTGGGGCACCCGCTTTGCCGAGCAAGCTGAGCACCTCACGTTGACTGCTGACCAGTCACCGGTTTTCAAGGATAACAGCTGCCTTTCAACCCTGCTGCCTGCTCCATCTGATCACAGGCGCTCGTAGGACTTCAACCCAAATTCCCCCTCGGTTGGGACGTTAAGACTAAATCTCCTTTTGGAGGATAAGGCTGGGGGTTTGCTCTGGGACATGCCCCATGCCTGTCTCCTGCACGTGCTGCTCCCGTGCTGAGCACACTCATCCCAGCAGGAGGCTGAACCTGCCTTCCCAAGACATGGGGTGGCTTCCCTGCCCTCTAATCCAGCCTAATCTAATCAAACCTGCCCTAATTCCCTGTAATCCCTGACCCCGCAGTGTGAGCAGCCGCTTGCTGCAGCCCGTGCCCCAGCTTCGAGCGCCAACGCTGGGCTCATTGCATCCCCGTGTCACCACTGCTCCTCACCCTGCAGCATCCTGCATCAGCACCCAGCCGACCAGGGAAGCGAGGGATGATTCGGGATTAGAGCCCGTCACTGTCGATACATGGGAGCCCGACACATGTGCGCGCAGCCCCGCGACCCCATTACAGCTGGGCTGAGCTCAGGGCACTCAGCTCCATGGATGGGTTGGTCCAAGGGACACTCAGTCACTCCTTACAACCCCCCCCGCCTCCCTTCTGGCACTGCTCCCCCTCCATGGGAAGCGAGGGATGATTCGGGATTAGAGCCCGTCACTGTCGATACATGGGAGCCCGACACATGTGCGCGCAGCCCCGCGACCCCATTACAGCTGGGCTGAGCTCAGGGCACTCAGCTCCATGGATGGGTTGGTCCAAGGGACACTCAGTCACTCCTTACAACCCCCCCGCCTCCCTTCTGGCACTGCTCCCCCTCCATCACTCCTTCCAGTGCCTCCCATTCGCCCTGGGTGCTTGTTTCTCCCTGCCGGGGCCACACGTGCCCCATGGCCGTCCCTCCCACAGCCGTCCCTCCCATGTCCCAGAAGGCTGGGAGAGCTGACGCTGCAGACGGGGCTGTGTTACCCATCAGTATGAAACCTCCAAGTGATTTTCCATCTCGTTGAAGGATCACGACTTCAGTGCAGACCCACAGCCTGGTTAACGACCAGCACTCACTCTCCATTACACCCGGCAAGCAGACACCTTGCTCAAGCCATCCAGCTCCTCAGGCTGGAAAAAGCCACCGCTGGTCAGTGCCAGCTTGCAGGAACCATTCCCGGTGCCGGCAACATAGCAACAGGGTGGCAGGACGTGCCCTGTCCCTCACCACGGGACTGCGGGTGCAGGGGGGTGGGAGGCGTGGGGTGCTGATGGAAGGATGCTCTGGAGCAGGGACAGCTCCAGGCACCCAGGGTGACAGTGGTGCAGGACCCCCAGGAGCTGATGTGGCAGATGACGGCCCCCCACTCCCCACCGCGGGCTGTTAATGCTGCCACGGCACCTCCTGTGCTATTGAACAGGGTGTTTTTGCGGGCGCACAGCCTGCTCGCCGCAGACGCACACAGTGTACTCTGAGTCCGGGACATGAGCAATTACGTCCTATTCATTCAGGGCTAATTGCTCCCCGGGCGTGCGGCAGGCTCTGCTGGCGTCGCCGTAGGTGGCCCCCATCAGCCACACGGGTCCGGTGAGGGGAGGCCAAGGCCAGGTCCTCCTTTCCCGCCCCCACAACGACATGCCTGCTGCTCTCCCCCCGACTCTGCCAGATTTAAGGGAGCCCTCTGCTCCAACACTGCTCCCCAGCACCCCCGAAACACCCGCATGGGGGATCAGGGTTGGCCGAGGGGGCCGGGTCTGCGGGGAGGGGGCAGACTCGGACAGCACGAGGGACCCCCACAAAAGCCATCAGGAAGGGCAGGTCTAGGGGGGGCGAGGAGCACGCAGCGGGGTGCGACCCTCTGCCCTGCTCAGGTTTGGCACTAAGGCGGGTGGGGGCAATCCGGTGCCCAAGACCGACCCATTGGGTCCCAAAAGTGCAGAGGAGGACGAGGAAGCACCTCGCTCTGTAAAGCTGCCCATGCTCGTTTAATGGAGCAAATTCTCCAGCTGGTGCTGTAATTACACACAGCATTAATTTGCCAGTGAAGTGAATCCATCAGCCCTTTCATTTGCTCTGAAAGTGAAAACCACCTCTGCCTGTCCTCTGGTGTCCTCGTAGGCAGACCCACCATCAGACAGGCGTTCGGTGTTAACCACAGCCCTTCTGGAAACAATCACGGTTCACACCTCCAACACGCATCTCCTGCAGCACGTACCCCCTCCCCGGGGCTGATCCGCAACCGTGACCCAGCCCATCGCACACAAGGGAGAGGCAGGAGGGGCCACCGTACCTGGATGTTGTCAAATGATGCTTTGTTGGTGACATCGTAGAGCAGGAGCAGGGCTGCGGAGAGAGGGACGGTGCATTAGTGCCGGTGGTGTGGTGCCGGGCAGGAGCAGAGCCAAGCAGAGCCCACGGCTCAGAGCTTGCCCTGCACCGTTCCCCGAGGCAGCGCAGGTGTTAAAGCGCCACGGAGGTCCCTGCTGTAAAATATAAAGCAACATGCTTAAATCCACCACAGGCAATGCCTCAGACTCCTGGGTTTTGCACCTCGACACGCCGAGGCTCCTCCATCCTCGGTGGCTGCTTCCTACGGGGAAACGGCTCCGGTGATTCCCGACTCACCTGCCCTGGGGTCACGGCTCAGGGCCCCGAAGAGCCGGCGGGAGGGGGGTCTCCCCTGGGAAGCAGAGGTGGCCGTGCTTACCGTGGGCATCCCGGTAGTAGGCATGGGTGACACTGCGGAAGCGCTCCTGCCCGGCCGTGTCCCAGATCTGGAAGGTAGATGGGAGCAAAGGGGTCAGCCATGAGCAGCCACTGCCTGGGCTGAGGGACCCCATCCAGCACCAAAGCCACCACCCAACCAAACGGCACGGTGCAACCCCGGGAAGTTTCTTCAGCCTTTTGCTTCCAGGGGCAGTAATAGGAAAAATGACAAGTGCAATAAATATTGAAGCAGCACCTCCCCACTCCTCAGCGCACGGAGACGATGGTGCATGGCAAAGGGCCCCTGACATGTCCCTTAATCGGAAAATCCATCCAGCAGATGGATGCGTGGGGACCCGCTAATTTAATTTATCAGTTTTTAATGCAGCAATACGTTTGCAGAGTGCCACGCTGCTGTCGGGGGAAGATCAGCGCTAATGTCGTTATTGAGCTCCTGGCAAAGGGGTCAGAGAAACGGTTGGGTCTCGGGGGGCTGGAGAGGCTCTGGCTGCGGGGGGACGTAAAGCCTCCTGCAAGTCCCATGGGCTGGATGCAGGCTGAGCCAGAGGAGACACATCCTTTCGGAGGATCTCCATCCCTCTCACCATCCTCCAGCTCTCCCAAAGCAGGAGCTGCCTGGAAACGCCCGGCAAACTGCAGGTGCTTCCCCGGTCTCACCAGCTCCAGCCACAGCCACCGAGCAGCGAGGAGGCAGGCGGGCTGGGACGGGGGTCCCCGCGGCCAGAACAGCCCCCAGCCTCAAGCAGGCTCCTGCCCAGGGGACAGAACAGCCAAAATAGCTCGTAAGGCTGTCCTGGGATGACAGCAAAGGATGGAGATGGGGGACCCGCTTCTGGGGTGCTCCTCTGCCAAGGGGAGTCCCAAACACGCAGGGGGAGTGAGTGAGCTGCTACCGGGGACACAGGGACGTACCTGCAACTTCACCTTCACCCCATCCACCGTCAGCACCTTATTCTGCAAGAGAAGAGAAAAGGCGGTGAGGGGTGAGTGCGGCTGTGGGATGCCGAGGACCCCGGGGAGACATGTGCACCCCAGTCCCCCATCCTGGGCAGCGTTTCCCCCCCAAACCCTTGGGCTGATCTCCTCTCCCCGCTTTTCAAACTTGCGGACATTGGTCCCAGCGCCTGTTGGAGCCGTTTGCACTGTGGCCCAGCCAGTAGTCTTGCATCTGCTGCAAGCTACATCTATTTGGATACTTAAATCCTCGCGTCTGCAAGGCTGATTTAGTGCAGTGTGTGGCTCGGGCTAGAAGACCTCTGGCAATAAATTAATGAGCACCAGCATCCCATCTTAATGGCCTTCAAAAAACACAGCCAACTACTCCACATTCAGTCAGCAACTTAAAAATAACTCCTCTTCCTGCTGTTTGTACCCATTTTTCTCCCAGTGAGCACCGTTTTCTCTCAGGTTTGGGGTTGTTTATGTTTTTGGGGTTTTTTTTTCCCTGTTTTGCTTATTTTTAGCAGGGAAGGTGGGAAGGAGGAGGAGAGGGGGCAGTGCCCCTCCACGCTGCTCTGCGGGATTTTCTCCAAAGCCAACAGGATACCTTTTGTGACCGCCCGGAGCAGCTCCCAGCAGAGCCGGGAGCAGTGTGGGGCCGCGGGGGGAGCCCACCGGTGCCCCTCCGGGCAGCTGTGCCAGCCAGCGAGGGCAGGGGACACATCCTGACCGCATCCCAGAGAGACCGCCGGCCCGGCGAGCTGCACCAGGCTCTCCAAACTTTAATCAAACACAATCCTAACGATCCAACAGTCCCAGGGGAAGGAGCAAAGAAGAGATTAATTTGCCTGCTCGATCCACAGAAATTAGCACAGTAATCAGTAGGACGTGATGAAAACACCGCCAGGGAACGGTGCACCCGGCGGGACAGGGCAGCCATTCACTCTCCGGCGATCACCAATTTAAATCCCAGGCAAATATGCTCCCAGGCAAACAGCAGCACACACGTGCCGAGAGCCATCCCCGCGCATCCCATGCCGCTCAGCACCAAGTACCGGGCACCTCAGGATGCCGGCACCCGGCATCACCCCCTAGGACGGTGCTGGCTAGGCTCTTCATTGCTGTTTTGCTATTTTTAATTAGGGCAGAGGGAGCATCTCGGCTGCTGCACATCTACGCTCGCTGAACAGCGAGGATACGGGCGAGGAGGAGAGGGCAGGAGTGAGCCAGAGCACTAAATTTACACAGTCTGCTAAAGCAGGCGCAGGGGAGACGATGGTGGTTTATAAATACCTTCAAAGGCAGCAACGGAGACGAGGGAGCGGAGTGATTCACAGCCCCACAGCGGTAAAAATAGGTAGCCAGGCTGCGGGGTGGAGGAGCCGAAAAGGGCTCAGGGAGCTGGCCGGGGGCTCGGGGAACTGGTCGGGGGCTCGAGATCGGCTGCCGTGCCCTGCACACGGGGCCGAGGTTTGCCCCAGGATGCAAAGCTGAGGACACCAATGGCTTGAAGTGCTTAAAACCGAGGGTCCCCGCTGCCGTGACATGCTCCCCAGCCCCCAACGCCTCCGCACACCGGCTTCTGGGCAAGCGCGGCCACTCCAGGCGAGACGCCCCCGGGGTGGAAACACCACAGCAAACGGCGCTGAGCAAATCCAAGCGGAGAAGCTGCACCTTCGCCGGCATCCCAGCGGATGGAGAACCGCGCTGCTGGGCACCCTTTCACGGGTGAGACAGGGCAGATGTACTTGCTGCAGAAGATCCAATTTCTAAGATCAACTCGCCCTCCAAAACCCCAGGTCCTACCACAGGTCGCGGTGCCGCACCGGAGGTGCCGGCACATCCTGCAAACCACAGGGGCTGGGAGCCCCGGGCTCCGCACCAGCGCGATCCTCACCCAAACCCCGCCCCCAGCCAGTGACAACCAGCCACCAATGCCACCTGCCAGGGACCGCACCAGGGACCGCGCCAGGAGCTGCAGAGGCAGGAAAACACTCTGTGTTTCCCTGTTGGCTCCAGAGCGTCCAGCCGCTCCGGATCTCGGCACAAGCGCCAGCAGGTCTCGCAGGGGACGAGGATGCTTGGTGTGATGGATGATGACGAGGGATGACGGCACTCTAAGCTTCACATGAAAAAACACACCAAACAAGTGCCCTTCCCTGACAGCTGCACCAGCACCTCCAGCTCGGAGGAGAGCGTGTGCCGAGGGGCAGTTGTGCCCGGCGACACGGCCATGTCCCCAGAGTGGCCACGCTCCAGGGGTGACCGGCCACCGCAATCAGGAGGGAGGGAGGGAGGGAAAACACAGCCCTGGACCAGTTGAGCTGAAGCAACCACAAAGCATTTGGTGAGCAGCCGAAAAAGCTGAAGCTCCGGTGCTGCACCTCATGCATCGACCTCCACTTCAGGAGCTTAATTAAAAGCAAAGCTGGCAGCAGCGGGATTCATACTAATTACGACTGACCTACATTTTATGGGGGGGAAATGCTTAAACCTAATTAAAGTCTGTACGTCAACCCAGGTGCTGCTGGACTGGGTGGGGGGAAAAAAAAGGATTTCCCGAGGTTTTGGTGTGGAACAGAGCGGTGTTTTGGGGCAAGTAGTTGCGGGGATGCTCCTGCAGGCAGGTGATGGAGCCGGAGCCACCCAGAGCAATGGCTTCTGCCTGCATCCCTGCCTGCATCCCTGCCTGCCCCCAAGCCCAGCGTGGCTGCAAAATGTGGTAGAAGAAGCCGAGCAGGAGGTGGGAGGAGCGGGGTGGGAAAAGGCAGAGGCTGCCACCAGCAACACAACGGCTCTTGTCGGTGCCACGTGAACCAGATGCCCAAATCTTCCCCCACACCATGGCTAATAGTCTTCCCAGCTTCCAATTATTATTATTTTTTTAAGGAGCCGCAGTTCAATTCCACACTCACAGCCCTTCAAAGGCACAGCTGGGGGGCTTCATGACTAATAAGCATCCAAAGACAAAAGACGACGTGTGTCAATGCACTGAAACATGAAATACACTGCCAGCGCTGCCAGGCCTGATCACAATGAGAGGGGTCGTGTTGTTCAGGGCTTGTTCTTAATCTTGCACAGCTTAATGTAATAGAGGTAATACTCACAGCAGGCCACCCGCTACGCAGAAGCAGGCAGGAAAGCCGTCCCCGCAACTCAGCTCTGTTGTCGCCCTTTGCAATTTCAGTTTTTATGTTTCCTCTTTCCTGGGGCTTTGACAATGTTATTGAAATATTTTCTAGCAGGGGCAGCAGTGGAATGCCTGGAGTGCCTTTGTTGGAGGAACATGATGCTCGTAAGTTAAATAATCCTCAGGACATCAGATAAATAAAGTTGGAACCTTGCAGATGCAGGGAAAAAATTAAATTACCAAGTGCAGATGGTCCTCAATTAAGAGCAGCATTATCAACACACCAACAGCTCCGCTGGCTGCAGCTCCGGTGCGATCCTGCCCCAGCGACCGTGGCACAAGAGCGGCCATTTGGAGGTAGAGAGGAGGGAGGAGAAGGTGCCCATGAGAGGGTGAAACTATGCTGCTCCCTGAAACGTGCACCCCGAGACGGACGATGTTCCCACCCAAACCAAGGTGCCCCCGTGCTGCTCTCGGGTCAGCTCATCAGTCTGGGTAATGCTGCTCCCCCCGGGTCCACAGGGTCCCCATGGTGCTGGTGAACCACACCGGGAGTGACCGGCACATCCCAGCCCCTCCGCAGGCACCAGAGCCCATGCCGGAAAGGCTGCAGTGTAACCCAGGGTCAGCAATCGCACAACAACCCAGCCACTCCCCAGATTTTCCACGCATTAGCTCATTAATTAAAGCCTTAAAAATTAAATCAAATACATGGATTAACTCAGTTCACAATTAATCTGACAAACGGAAAGCTGCTCGCTGACACCACTCAGGCTCCACCAAGGGGAACCCTCACCCTGGCTCCCAAACACCTCTCATGGGTGCTGGCTCAAGTGATGCTGCCCAAGAGCACCCACCAACACCCGCCAGAGCATCCCCCTGCTCAGGTGGGCACTGCGAGGCATGGCACGTCCCGGGCATGGCTGCAGCCCAGCATGCACGGTGCCAAAGAGGAAAAAGGGGACGAGCAGCATTTGAGGACCGTCCGAGGGACCCTGGCGTGCCTGGCCCACAGCCCCACTCCTCCCCAAACCATCGCCTGGAGAGGGGGAGAGGAGAGAAACTTGGGGGCTGCAGGGTCCCAGCAGGGACTGAGGGCACCCGTCCCCATCACTGCTGCCAGGGGCTGTGGCTGCACCAGTGCCTCTGCTGTGGTGGGCTCGTCCCCAGAGCCAGCGGGGATGTCCCCCCCCAGCGGGGGTCTGGCCCCCGGCCATCCCCCTCTCCACTTTTACGATGGAAAATCAAAAAAACCCCAAATGTCATTAGTGTGTTTTGGAGGCAGCCCTCACGGCCGACCGGGGGCGAGTTCCTGTGAAACGGGGAAAACATTGAATTCGCAAATATACCCAGCCGAAGGCGGCTGGGGCACTGGCTGAGTTAATTAGCGGCCGTAACGGCTCTGCTGCGGGCTGCAGGACTGACAGCACAGCCACCCAGCAAACTTCATCAGGGCTGCGGCATCACGCGCCGGCCGGAGTCGGGTGGGTTGCCAGGTCCCCATCTCCACTTGGGAGCACGCGGGGAGCAGGTGATAGATTGGAGCATCCTTTATTTTAGGAAGCCAAGCGGAAAACAGCAGCACGGCAGGGGCGAGCTGGCTGAAGGGACGCTGGGGGACGCCAAACCTATGCCAAAGCAGGACCCAGATCCAAATTCCCACTTGGCAAAGCCCTGGGGAGCCCCCACCTCCACGAGCATCAAACGCTCCCGTGCCAGGGAGGAGCTGGGATGCAGTTGTGATGGGGCTGTAGCAGACAGACAAATAAACGCTACCTCCAAAAGCGACTGCAAAAAATAGATTAAGGATCGATATGGAAATCTGCCCAAAACAGCAGGACACTGGATTAAATTTGCTCATTAAAACCTTGAAGTTTCCCCACAC